GCCCGGGGCCCCGCGGGGGCTCGGCGCGTGGGAAGGGCGGCCGCGGTCCGGTCCGAGGCCGACAGCGGGAGGGGAGGGAGCGGGGTTAGGAAAGCAGGCTTCAGGGTATTGCTAACTGGGTGTCTCCTGCCAAGGCGAGAGAAAATAGTTACCTGGACTCCTCTGGGTTCTGAATCAACAACCGGGTGCCATTTCCTACCCCTCCTGCTGCCTCCATTTATAAGGCTTTATATTTGACAAAGAATTTTTTCACTTCTTTTTCTCAGATAAATGTAAGAAGACGCCCATTTCATAGATACATTTGAGGGACCAAGGCAAGTTTTATGCATAGGGAAATACGATCTATTTAGTCTATGTCCAAACATTTTATGTATAACAGATTGAATAATACTTTTATGTATAGACTTAGGTAACATACATACACAATATTTATGAGTCAACATGGTATTTAACATTTCTATTTTCCCCCTATTTTGGTCCTAAGTCAAGTTGGCCCCATGCATGCCGCTTCACTGGCCGACATGCTTTGCACAAACTCCTCAGAGATTTGGACTCCTCCGTGGACCCCACTGTAACCCCACCTCACCCTGCCTGCTGAACTTTCCCAACTATATTATTGCCATGGAATCTGAATTACTATGGAATCGCGTTTGTATCACTCTTCCAACTCTTAAAACAGTCTACTTGATATTAGTTTTAGTACATGTGTATTCTAAGCTTCCTTACTAGAGTCTTAGCTCTTTGAATTTACTCGTCTTTATATCCTCTGCAGTGCTTAACTGTGTATGTAACTGTTCCTACCTCTAGGCCTTTGCACCTGCTATTCCCTTCCTCCAGATACCTGCATGGCTAGGTCCTTCACCTCCTTGAGATCTTGACTCCAGAATCACTTTGTCACTGCCTAAAATCCTTCTGCCCCTCAGTATTTTGTAGCTCCCTTTTCTTGCTTTATTTTTTTTCTCCTTAGTACATTTAACATCTAGCATTTTCTGTATTTTACTCATTTATCTGATTCATTTTCTATCTAAATTACAATTCCATGAGGACAGAATTTTAATGTATTTTGTTCAGAACGGTATCCCTAGTGCTTACCACACAGTAGGTGTCCAATAAATATTTAACAAATAAAGGAATAAATAAATAGAAGCATTAAATAAATACAGTAGAAATGAATCAGAGTATATGGGCATTGGATCTGAGCCTAGAACTGATGTCAAGGGAAATGAATGATTCTTTCCAACATGTGTAGAAGGGCACTAGCTAAATTAATTCACATTTACCTGGGTCTGTTAAGTTTATGAGAAGCCAACTGATTGTTTCATTAATGTTTCAAAATATATACTTTAAAAATAAAGAGTGGGCATATGAGTATTTCCAACCTATCTTCACAGACCAAAGGGATACATAGGTCTTTGTTTCCTGGATTGTCAGAGAAATGATTATGCTTCTAAAACATCTGTTCAGCTCATCATTTTCATTTCCTCCTGTGGTTTATACAGTTGAGCCCATTGGTACATATTTGTTTATATAATATGGCATATGGTATCGGTCAGTTCGGACCATAGAAATGTCCTGAAGATTTGTGGTAGTGCTGGGTCTTACAATGTGTGGTTTTGTCATGGAAAAATTAGATTTCTGTTCTGGTAAACAATTGAGTACTGAGTATATTAACAGGAATTTTGAATAAAGATATTTAGATTTCTCACCTCACTGCAAAATAGTGAGTTGCAAGATTTTGTGAGCTAATACTAAATTAAGTAGTTCTTTCATTCATTGAAAGGTAAGCTTGGGGCTGGGCATATTTGGGGAACTTGATATATCAGGATGAAACTTGGAAAATCCTGGGACTTTTAGTAGAATTTGTAAAAAAACAGAACCAAACAAAAACAAAACTAATTTCACTATTCAGTTGAATGCAAATATTTTCCAGGAACCAATGCCCTTGTAAAGTTTTGGAATTTTATCTTGGGGTAAAGAAAAGATAGGAGAAATAGGAATATCCTTATGTTACATTATATGATTTTGCTTCTAGAGTAGGAAGACTTTATCTTATAATCCTGATCTGTTTTATTTAGTCAACTTCCCTCAGCTTTAGAGTTCTTGGTTTTGTCAAATAAAAAGCAAATCCGGACTTAGTAAGGAGAGACTTTGTTTGAAAGGATTATTGCAAGGGGGGACGGGGCTATTGCATTTTGTGAGGGGGCTCTTTCAATAGGGAGAACACTGTGACCATGTGATCTGCAGGTGTCTCAAGAATTAGGCCCAAAGGGCTTCTTTTATAAGAGGAGTGAACAGGGGTAGCAAGAGCTAGGTATGGAGAAGTGGGGTGAGAGCATGGCATATAGGACAGAAGGTCAGAGAATGCCTTACCCGGACACTAGCCTGTTTTCCAAGAGGGACCCATAAATAGGTGTTGTATGCTGTTTTGGGCTGAGAGTGGGCTCAAGTTCAGGGCCCCAAAGCAAGGAGAGAAGCTTAACCAAAGTTTGGTTAACAAGTGTTTTATTTCAGTTAATCAGTGGGGACAAGGGTCTCAGCTAATCATTTATGAGGCCAAGGCTGCCCTTGTCATAGGGTGAACAAGTGGGGCACCTGTGAATTTTATCTGAGTCATATGGGAAGGGTGGTTCTTTGCAGGAAGCCATTTTCCAGAACACAAAAGCGAGGGGAAAATTCCTTTAACCTGTGCTGTTTTCCAGGAGCATAGGGCTCAGGTAAAATTCAACTTTGTCAGCTTCTCTACCTAGAATGAATTTGGAAAAATACTCTGGCCTTGTTCTGTCTGCTTTATAAAAGGATTACAACGAAAACAATCTGATGGTTGCTAATTTTTGAAATTTGAAATTTTTTCTCCTAGAAAAAAAAAAGGTGAATATATTAAATATCTCATTAAAAGAAAAAGGTGTGTTTGGAGCTTTATTCTTGCAGGTAAAGTACATATGAAAGGATGTGATTTTCTGGCTTATGTAGTAGCAGACTTACAGAGGCACTGCATATTTAATCGTTACAAAAGAGAATGGTAAGGGAAAATAAATCTTCTTTAAAACATAGATTAATCAAAATCAATATTTAGAACTTTACCAAAAAGGCAAACACCCAGGTCACTCTAAAGTACTTGCTTTATGAAAAAAATTAGACTATTTCCTGACCCCCTAGGAAGTTTCATTCTATAGTGAATGACTATGTTATGGCAGAAAGTTGCATAAAGATAGAGGGAATTAAAGATAAAAAGCTAGGTGTTTTATTTTGTTGCATTGTGTTAAAAAGGACCATAAAACCACGAAATTTAGATTTAAATCAGTTTATTCTTTTCAGAAACATATTATGTTGGATAAATCAACTTAGAGATATATGCCCATTTTATTTTCTCTTGTAGCTATGTATTTATATTGAATTCTAATTTTCCTCAAAATAGCTCAGAGAAAGTGAGGAAAATATGTATGAGGAAAATACATAATTTTATTAAGCCTCTGAAATTCCAAACATATGCAAAACAAATAAAAAAGGGCTGGAGGTGGGGAAACTTCTGAGGAACATTTTGTAGGTGTGGCTTCCTTGCTGGAAAATTGATTCTTACAGGGCCCAATCCAGGAGGAAAGCTCCTATCCAGTTTGTGTTCTGTCACTCACCAGCTGGGTGACCCCAAGGTCACCTACATTGTCCTAGTTTCAGTTCCTTGACTGTTACATGCAGACTAAGATGGTCTGTAAGGATCAGTTTATTTGTAGAAGTTTATGTATTGTCTTAAAGCCAGAAATTCCTTAATTTATGAAGCAATTTTTAAAACCTTGGATCATTAACAGATTTCCAGCTCTAGAAGATTTGTAGAAGGTGCTGTTAGGGTGAGGGGTGGGAAAAAGGGAGAAAAAAGAAGTGTATATAAAGTAAACAACACAGGAGAGAGATTTTCTCTGAAAAGAGCTAAGTGCTCAGGGAAAATGTAATTCCTGCTGGCTACACTTTCCTCAGGATCCTGCATTCTTCCTTACCTCTTACAGAGGCTCATCCTGGCCCAGTATCTTTACATGGTCATCATTTATGCCAAAGTAACTCTCTTCTTTCTGTTTTTCTTCTCTTCCTCCTCCTTGGTCTCCTTAGAATACTCCATACTCAGTACCTCTCACCAGCCAAGGCTCATGCAGGTTTCCAGAGTGAGCTACACCTGTGACGGCCTCTCCATTTCTTCCCAGCACCCTCCCCATGCTGGGTAGGACAAGGCTTCCACGACTATTTCCATTTTCAGACTGTAGATGTCGCTGGCTTACTGTTAAAAAGGTCTTCCTGGTTGTCATCCCTGTTCCCAGGTACCCTAAATCAAGTTCCGCGTTGAACCACCTTAGAGTTAGAAATGTTTGATTTTTACTTGTTTATAATCATATCTTCTAGGCAGTAGTTTCACAAGTTTATGTAAACTACTCAAACAGTGCTTCCCCGTTTTAGAAATCTCTGTAGAAGAGTTATTTTCTGATTGTGATGC